CCCGCACCTAGACCTGCAACCAGGCCAAGGAGAAAGCTGCAGAGGAGGGGGCCGCCGGGGCCCGGGGCCTGTGTGCCGGGCGGGGTAGAGGAGGTTGGGAAGCCAGAGCACGGGTCGCGGCGAGGGCGAGCAGCCGCGCACTCCCGGTGCTGGGAGAAATGCCAGCAGAAGCGAGGCGAACAGACGCGCAGGGGCCCGAGGAAGGAGAGCTTTACAGGCGAGCGCCGAGCGAATTAGGCGACTCAGGCCTTGGACCCTTGATTTACACAAAAGAGAACCCGACCCCGCTACCGGCGACAGATGGCGCCCGGACACGCCAAACAGCCCATAATGTTAGGCTGCGAGCATGGTCCTGCACCGCGCGGCCGCCCAGCCTTTCTAAAGGGGAGGGAGCTGCGGGGCGCGAAGCGGCCAGAAGGGGTCTCCCGTGGCCCGCGCTGGGCTCCACACTTACGCTGATTTTAGTTGCATCCTTATTTGTTACCTAAAATGCAAAGAGCGAGAGAGAGAATTTGTTACCTAAAATGCAAAGAGCGCGAGAGAGAGAGAGACATTAGGCTCGAGGCCTTCAAGCTTGGGGAACTCAGATACATCTTTGGCAAGGGGACTCGCGGGCAAGTTAGGGCCCAAAGCCGCCCGGGGTTTTCTGGGGGTTGAGGGCACAAATGACAGCAGTCTTTCCAGGAGTTTACCCGGAAGGAAGCAGGTTTGAAGCTAACATCGTGCCTGGCCAAGGAGTGGCTGCCCTTGCACACACCTGCCAGCTGAAGATGGGAGACTGGATTGCTACCAGGGTGGGAAAGAAGGCCCATCTCTCTCCAGCGAAGCATCCTTATTCCCTGCCCTTTTCCTCCAAATCCTCCACCTAATTTGGAGCCTTGAAAAACTGGATGGAGGGGCTGATGTATCTGCACAAGACCCAGTGGGAGACATGAGCAGTAACTCCGGGTGGGACCCTGGGGAAAATGTAGGTAGGTGTGTAGGTGTCTGTCTGTGTCCCTGTGCAAGAGTGTGGGTTATGTGGCAGACAGGCAGCAGGGCCTGGTTTCTAGCCACAGGGAGTGGCCCCTCTGATCCTGTGGGGGCTGGAGGTGACCTGCGTGCCTCCCTGTACACGGTTCTCTGCCGGCCTCTGGAACGCAGCCTGGCAGAGCTCTGGGAGCCACAGAGTGGCCGAGGGTAGGGAGAGCTCTGTGGGACTAAGTGGTCTTTCCTCAGGACGCAGCACCCTTCAGACGCTAGGCCCTCCGCTAGCAAGCAAGAGCACGCGAATTGGGTGAGGTGTGGCTTTTGAGGTGTTGGCCTGAACGGAGTTTCGGGAGGTTGCGGTAGAAGGGAAACTGCCAAAAGAATTAGCAGGATTTGGGGGTAACAAAGGCTGACTTTGAAGATGCTGTGGGGATGCGCAGGGTGGGAGATGGGCTACTCCACGGGGCGGCGCCCTGCGTCAGTGAACCCGGCTGCCTTCCTCCCCAGGGTAACCCTCACCACCCGCGGGCGCCGCGGGTTACCTTGCTCCGGGCGCCGGGCACGCTGAGCGCCAGCTCGTGCAGCAGCTCCCGGGGCGGCTCCTTGAGGTACCACCACTGAATTTCCAGCGAATACGAGGTGGCTCCGCTGGCCCGGAAAGCGCAGGGCATCTCGATGTCGTCTCCCTCCCGTACTGTCACATCTTTGGGGACTTCGGTGAATGTAGCTGGGGGAGGGGGAAGAGAGGCGTGACCAGCTGCAGGGCGGGGGCCTGGGGCAACCCGAGGCAAGGCGGCCGGTCCTCGGCTCGCTGGCCTGGTGCTCCCACCCCTCAGCGACTCCGTGGCCCACAGCCGGAGGCGCTAGCAAAGTTCAGTAGAGCTACCGCAGGGCCACAGCAGGGACCCGCCGCCGGCTGCAGGCTACTTCCCTCTGGATCGGGCGGGGCCGCAGGGGTGGCTTACGCTTCTCCCCCGCGCCGGGCCGCACCACCAGAGCCAGGCTGGGGCACGCCAACTCCCGCTCCCCGCAGGCCTCCTCTCCGCAGCTGGAACCCCGGCCGGACTCCGAACGACGCCAGCGCGGGCGCCGCCGCTGCGGAGACCCTTCACTGCGCTCCTCCCCTACCCCTCTGGGCCGGGGCTGCAAACGAGATTGCTGGAGACCGTGAAGCCTTTCCCTTCTCTTCCTGCTCCTTTTCCGTGGCGACCGGGGCAGGCTGGCTCTGGCGGCCCCAGTAGGGACCTCCCAAGCCCACCGCGGCAGCAAAGTTCCCGCGCTCACCGTCGGCCACGAAGAGCAGCAGGGCGTGCAGCAGCAGAGGCGGCAGGTATCCGAGGGCGCCGAGCCGGTTCCGCTGTTCCATCTCCCGCGGGGCGCGCGGCGGCAGCGGGGGCCCGGGCGCGGAGAGGCGGCGGTGGCGGCAGCGTGGGCTCGGATCCGGCTCGGGCTAGGACGCCTTGGAGCCTGCCATGGCCCCACGCGGCGCCCCCTCCCCTGGCCGCCGGCGGCCGCCAATCAGCCCCGCTCCCC